CCCCAAAACCCCAAAAACCCCAAAACCCCAAAACCCCATGTATCAATACTGGTTTTAAATATCGGTAAATTACTAGCAAGGAGTATTTATTATTTTAAGCTATGCGCATTTAATCTTATTTACTTATAAATATGATACGACCTAAATATTTGAAAACATTCAATATCTTGTAATGTGTGGAAGCATACTTTGATTGTGGTAAAAATGCTTGCTCTTTCTATTTAGATTAATAATATTGCCTCTTTATAAAGTCTCAGCCACATGCATAAATACAGTTTTATCCATTACTTTGGGTCTAGAATAGCTGAGATTAGGAGTTTATCTTCCACTGCTATTCAAAATTGATGTGGGCTAGCTTTACCGTGAGTCTTTTTATCTTTACTTAATAAGATATTGAATCAAGGGACTGAATTCCATATGCTATGCTTTAAGTACCTTTATTTAGGACCCATCACTGTTTATGAATTATTTATTGGGTAAACTCACAATGTCATCTTAACTTATGTTAATTGACTATCTTTTATTTCTTTGATTCACCACTATGCTCTTTAAGGTTCTCTTGCTGGATTATCTTGTCATTGGACCAAAGAAACTTCTGTTATTAGATTCATCCATCTCAGAGGGAGGAGAGTTATTAGCTGTTGACTTGTTTTAACTTGAAACTGGATTAAAATGATTTTAGATAAACGCTCTGCTGAAATGTTCAGTAATTGACCGCTATGATTTTAGCTCTGTCCTAAATGTTGTAACTCTATCATCAATGTCAGATTCATCTTCGCTGCTGAATTCCATTTCAAATTTTGACTCTTTATCGTTTTTCTGTGGGAAAGAATTCTCATCTACCACTTATTGGCAAGATATTCTCTATAGTTATTCTTTCTTTTGTTACCTTCTATTGCTATTTTCCTAAGTTTGTTTCCTCATTTCTTAAATTGCATCAACAAGTTAAGAGCTCATATAAAGTTTGGTCCCTTTGATTTTTTCTTTCTTCTTTCTGAAACTTGTAATCTTAGGTGGAACTTTCTTTTAAATAGTCTAATCTAATGAGAGAGGAGACCCTCTATTTGCTGTTTAAATCTTTCTTGCCATTATAAGTTTGTCATGATCAATGACAGGTTATGGTAGCCTCTATGACATTAGTCTAAAGTTATTTCCAGTTTTGTTCATATTAGTGATAACTTCTTATTAAGTCAAATCAATAAGATTGCTATCTTAATCTTCAATTTTTATTAACTTTTAAACTTTATTTACAACTGTGAAACCCTCTACCATTTATTTAAGAGCATCTCTTTTTTCATTTGTTGATTTGAGAAAGAAGGTAGAGTAGTCCTATCTATTTGTACTACTAAAACTTTTAATTTTAGGCTTTGGTAATTCATTTTCAGAAGTGTTTATTTCTAGGTGTGTTCGTTTAGTGGATGGATTCTTGAATTTCTGAAGATTTATCAAACCATCAAGTTGCTTATGAGTCATTTAATCTTCTTTAAGTTTTGTCATTTTCTCAATCACTTCCATCGTGTCATTAATATTGTGAAATTTTCTCATAAATTCTATGCTTGATATTCTTAAAACTTCACCTTCAAGGCTTTAACAGATTGCTGTGTAGGGAGCCACATTTTAATTTCTGATAAATCTTTCCTCCCCAAATAGTTAGCCTTTTCCGAAGATGAATAACTCTACAAGTTCTTTCTTTTAGTTAACATTTGTGAGATTCTAATTTTTAGTGAGAGAGTGGAAATTTTTATTGAATGACGATCGAAGACTTTTATTTGTTCTCTCTCCTCTTAGGTATTGCATGACTGGTTCAATGCTATTAGAGTTCCTAATTATCATATTCCTTATACCCTTAAATTCTCCATTTCTCACAATATAGATATCATCATTTGGTAATCCTTCATGAAAGAGCACACTACCTCTTTTGAATTTAATCAAATTGAAGCTTGATAGAAGTTTCCCTAGTTGTGTTGTGGACCAGGATGTAAAGAATGGAATTTCTGATAAAAACTGAATTGTCCTAATTCTGGTCTTGTTTTCTATTTTGGCAAGACATCTGGTGTATTCATGTTTAGTCATTACAGCAAAATGGCATTCTGTGTGGCATTTTATCCTTGCTGCCCTTGGTTTGTTTGTAATTAAAGCCAACTCTCCAAACCCACTACCAGTGTGAAGTTAAGCAACCTCAGTTAAAACTGTTTCCTCATCCTCATTTTCTTATAAGTTATGCTTATGGGCATAATGATGATGAGTGTGAGCATGTCTTGGGCTTGAACCATCTTTAACATTGATTGAAGCAAGCCTTGCAGCAAATTTCTTTTTTTTAAAGGATGGTGATGCAGGCTCATTTAATTCTTTCCTTTGAATCGATGCTTAATTTGAGATGTCCTGGCTCTTAACAAAGCTCATTACATTTTCTGAAATAAATCCTTTTTTTATAAATTAGGATTTTCTATAATTTTCATTAATTCCTGATTAATCCTTGCTATCCTCATTAAGTTGTTCTACTATTTGATCATCAGATATATTGCTAACTTTAGACGCAGCAAGATCAATTAAATGTTAAGGATGCACAAGAGATTCCTTAGATAGAACATTTAGATAGTTACTAGACGTTTGACCGAAATTCAATTGCTGATAATCATTCATTTACTAACTTATTTATCTAGAACCAAACTTCACAATATCTCTTCTTGCGAGTAGTGGGCTACTTGGAGTTGTATGTCTTTCAACTGATGCTCTATTCATATTTTACCTTGAACTGAGTTAACTACGATCTTAATCTAATAATTGACTTGCATTAAGAGCATTCCCAAGATCTTGTGTTTGCATTGGCTAAACTTGAAATTCTTCTTGCTATAGCTCTAGCGGTACCTTCTTTCTCTTTATGGGTATTTATACGCTTACTGTTCCACTTAAGATTATATAAAACTTTTCTCCTATAGACCCTAAAAAATGAATATTGATTTTTCAAGTTTACCATGATCAAAAACTATGTTTCCTTGCTTGTGAAATTCATGCTTTAAGCAGTTGGCAATCTCTACCAGATCATGCTCCTTTATATCTCGTTCCTTAAAAAAGCCTATTTTTCGAATAAGAGAGTTCAATGTTTCATTATCTTCAGGAGTACGCTAGTCAGTCTTTTTACTTAAGATAGGTAGAATTATCTATAAATTGTTGATAAACAAAAATTACATTCAGTTATGCACCACCTGCTTACATTTTTATAATATATTTTTAATTATAGGGGTAATTAATTTTATTTCCAACCTTTGAAAAATCCATATAATATTCTCTAACTGGGGTTTTGGGGTTTTGGGGTTTTGG